TGTGGAGCCGTAGCCAGGGTGCGTCCCTGCCGCGTGCCTGGCCGGGGTGCTTGGGGACGGGGCAGGTCGCGAGCCTAAGGCTCTCGCTGAGGTGGTCCGGGGAGTCTCGCCACGTGGGAGGGGGAGGACCTGAGACGCAACGGGAGAGACGCACTGATGGGGCGGGAGGCCACGTGGGTGGGGTTCCTCCCAGGGTCCGCGTGCCCGTCCCCTCGAGTGACTTCGTTGCCCATTCTTTCACAGGCAACATGTCGGAAGGAAACGCTGCGGGCGAGTCCAGCACTCCGGCAGGACCCCGGCCCCTCCTCTCCGGGGCCAGGGGGCTTATCGGGCGGCGGCCAGCGCCCCCCCTTACGGCAGGCCGCCTTCCCTCCATCCGCTCCAGGGACCTCACCCTCGGGGGAGTCAAGAAGGTACCCGACGGCACGTTTCCAAAGAAACCAAACTACTTTGAATTCCAGGCCTCTGGGATTCCACGAATGTTCGTGTAGGGTCTATTGTGTGCCAGGCCTGGTTTTGAATCTTGGTCATCAGACTCCTGTTTACACCCTAACATTTCTAGTGAGCCTCTCCTATCTTTAAATCTAGGTACTGGATACAAGATGTTGAGATGGTTGTCAGAGGTGGTTGAAGGACAGAGAATCCTAATTAATTAAAGGCGTTCAAAAGCATCTTGAGTGCTGGCGGATTAACTCAGCCGGTCAGACCAAGGATCCATTCCGTACCGGCCAGCCAGAAAAAAAGCAACTTGAACAGTGCTTATTTACTTTTATTGTGTGTTTTGGACACCTTTAAGAAAGACAGGTAGGCATAGATTATGCTTGCAGTCTTAGAGGGTTCGGAATTCTTCACGGATCCCAGTGTGCAAGCTTCTGACTTATGGTATAATGAATCCTAGGCATGGCATTAGAAGCTGTGTGTCATCTCCAATTATGTATGACTGTAGATGTGAAGAGTGGCCTTGAAAGGCGTAAGGGGGGCCAGGATGATGGAAGCATAAGCGGCCAGTTTAAAAAGATTTACCTTTGCCTTGGAAAATTCTGGTGACAGTTTAACTGTATCATCTGTTAGTGAGTGCTGGAGAACCTCTTGTCCCTACTTAAGACTTGCTGCTGGAGCTGTTTCCTTGTGATACTGACTAGTTCCTATAGCAGTTTGAAGACAAGAAGTGAGGTTAGGTGAGTGCCTTTGCTGTTAGAAGTCCCAGAGGCTCTCCTTTTAGAGAGTAGATGCTGAGGCTGCTACATGTTAAAATGGTTTTTTGTGCCCCATTCTTCTGTGTGTAACTCCACTGCCACCATGGCATGACATTCTTCCTTTTTGGGCACGTGTCTGTCTCTATGAAACTCTGACAACAGTGTGGACTGTGCAGAAGACAGCCATAGTGGTCTTGGTCTATAGAAGATGCCTTTGGGAGTTTTTATTTTCCTTTCTCCTTTGGGGTTGGAACTTACCAAATTAGTGACTCCTGTATTTTACTTTCAGAAAACCTTCACTCCAAATATCATCAGCCGGAAGATCAAGGAAGAGTAAGTAGCTAGGCCTTCTGAGTACTTGCCCCTTATTTACTTGCTCTGAATTTGGGGCTTTTGGGGAGTAACTAGGTGTGTGGGTCAGAAATTTAAATTTGTGTCTTTAGGCCGGCCCGGTGGCGCATTGCTACAGTGCGCCGCTTGGGAAGCGTGGCGGCGCTCCCGCCGAGGGTTCGGATCCCATATACAGACCGGTTCCCGCTCACTGGCTGAGCGAGGTGCGGGCGCATCGCCGAGGGTTGCGATCCCGTTGCCGGTCCCGGTCCGGTACGGGCGCGACACTGAGGGTTGCAATCCGTTGCCGGACACGAAAAAAAGACAAAAATAAATAAATAAATAAATTTGTGTCTTTAGTTCTTTTCACTAGTGACTTTCAACCCTGGCTCCCAGGTGATTTTAATGTGCAAGTTTAAAAAAAAAACAAAACTGATGCCTGTGACTTATCTCTAGAAATTGTGATTTAATTTGTTTGTAGTGGAATGGAGTGATTCTCTTTTACAGCCAGAGTTGAGAGCCACTAGTTTAAACAAAGATGTCTCACACTTTCCCTTAAGTCCCTCTGCATTGCATCCTTCTTGCTTTCAGTTAATGCAAAAACAAAATTTTTTTTTTTTTTTTACATTTTTTGGACAGGAAGGTTAAAGTAAAGCAGACTGAGGATCCTGCCTTATCAAGGAAGCTTATTGGCTCATAAACTCCCTGCTCAGTTGGAGCAAAGTGGTGTGGGAGAATAAGGCCAGTTTCCTCAGGCTGAGTGATTTCCTTTGATCCATTCTGTTTTCCAGACCCAAGGAAGAAGTAACTGTCAAGAAGGAGAAACGTGAAAGGGATAGAGACCGACAGCGAGAGGGGCATGGGCGGGGCCGGGGCCGCCCAGAAGTGATCCAGTCCCACTCCATCTTTGAGCAGGGCCCAGCTGAAATGATGAAGAAAAAAGGTATAAG